GGGAGGGAAACGGGAGGCGGTGGCGGGGAGGAGGCAGAAATCTTTAATAATAATAAAAAAAAGACCACATAGCAAGACAGTGTTGAAACCAAACAAAACCCAAAAAAGTTGTCTCCCCTAAAAAAAAAAAAAAACCTGTCAAAATCCCTACTTAGATGACTACCAGGGACAAAGTATAAGGGGATGAACTAGTTGGGGGGGTGGGGGCAGGTATAAATTACCAAAAAATTCAGAGCGGTGTGGATCAGCATGTTTTTGGCATAGAGAACATGGGTGCTTTTTGCCTGACAGGAAGCGTTTTTCCAAAGAAATATTTACTGAGACTTAAAGGAGGGGCAGAAATGTGTTGGCCTAATGAGGAAATAAAGAATTCCAGGAAGATTGGAGAGGGCAGGGGAGTAAGAGATGAAAGCCTGGCATGAACAGGGTGGCTTGCCTGGAAAGCTGGGTGCTCAGGATGAGGACAGCTTGACTGGGTAGCAGGTTTGGTAGCTCTCACAGGCCGAGGGCTTAGCTTATTGGCCAAGAGCTAACACGGCTTGAGCTTGGTTCTGAGAACTGCAAGAAAAAAGAGAAAGAGAGAGAGAGTCATACTTGGCACAACAAATTAAATACACCAGGGACTGATGTGGAGAAATCTAGATTCTATTTAACTACTTTTCGGGGAAAGGAAAGGAAAAGGAAATGACAGCTGTTTGATGATTATATGTGAACACTGTGTGTTTCCACTCGTCCTTGGGATTGGCGTCTGGATTTTACGAGGTTCCTTCTGACTCACACACGCATGTGTCAGTCTCCAGCCCTGTGGATGGGCCAGTGAACAAGGCTCTGCAAAACCTTGCTGAGCAGAGCCCCTGGGCTTCCCACAAGGTCAGACATTGTAGCCATGTTATGTCAACGTTTTTTTTTTTTTTATTTTTTAAATAAGATTGGCAAACCCTGGGCTGGAGAGATGGATGGTTCAGAGGTTAAGAGCACTGACTGCTCTTCCAGAGGTCCTGAGTTCAATTCCCAGAAACCACATGGTGGCTCACAACCATCTGTAATGAGATCTGGTGCCCTCTTCTGGCAAGCATACATGGAAGGAATGTTGTATACATAATAAATAAATAAATCTTTAAAAAAAAGATTGGCAAACCCTTATTTTTTTTTAATATTCTGTCTGTGTGTATGTCTGCAAGACATGACCAGACAAACCTTATTCTAGAAGTTTATCAAAGGACAATGGTTCACCCCTTTGCTGTGAGTTTTAAGGACCATATGGGGGCTGCTTGTATTACACAGACCTAGCACTACATACATGGTGGCATGTGTCGTGTCTATGATCCCAGCATTTAGGAGGTGGGGGCAGGAGGATCAGAAATTCAAGGTCGTCCTCGGCTACGTAGTGGATTTGAAGCCATCTTGGACTCTCTGAGACCTGTTTTTAATTAAACAAGCAAACAAATGTCCCCGCTTTGAGGGGGCATTCTCCCTCATCCTAACCTGAGAACATTTGCGTGTGGAGGGGAGGCTGTATGTGCAGCCAGGGGATAACGGGCCAGAATCCGTTCTCTCCTATCAGGTCGGGACCCTGAAGACCGAGCTCAGGTCTTCAGGCTTGGCACCTGTACCAGCTGAGCTGTTTTGTGGGCCCTGCCCTCTCTTGTGTCCCAGGATGGAAATGGATGCAAGCAGGCAGAATGTGTAAATGGCCTCCCGAGAACCGGCGGTGGTTGCTTCTCAATGCTGAGGTGAAATGGATACACCCGAGTTGCTGGGAGGAGCTGGAACGTAGCAAAGCACAACTTGGTTAATCCCCGGCCTCTGGCAAGAGCAGATGTGGTATGTGAGGAGACTGTATACCGAGACAGAGTCTCAGAATCCCAAACTTTCCAGAGGCCTCGAATTCCAGATCTTCCTGCCTCCACCTCCAATTCTGGGATTACAGGCATGCATCGCTACGTCAGATCTGTGCATTGCTGAGACTTGTACCGAGGATTTCCTACATGCTTAGCCACTGAAACTATATCCCCAGTCCCCAGGAAGACCAGGAAATGCACACGGTAATGTATCATGCTCTAGATCAGTGGTTCTCAACCTTCCCAGTGCTGTGACCCTTTAATAGTAATTTGCTACTGTTATGAATTATAATGCAAATAAGTTTTCTGATAGTCTTATGTGACCCTTGTGAAAAGGCTGTTTGACCCCGCCCCCAAACGGGTCGTGATCCACATGTTGAGAAACACTGCTCTAGTTAATAACTCCAACGTTCCTGAAGTACAGCTAAATTTTCATTAGGTTAATATAGGCAGGTGGCCAGCTTCCAAATGGACCGCCGCTATCCTGGAGCTGTGCTTGAGCTCGTAGCTAAGAGGCACGAAGAACTGGCCTTGGTCAACTTTCAGCATTTGGAGCCCTAGGCTGGCGCGTGTCCTGCTTTTCCCCAGGAGACACTCTTTTCATCGCCTCAGGAGGTAGCTCCTGGTCTAGCATTGTTCTATGCTGCCAATTTAGCCTGCTGGATAGAGTGGGGTGTGAGCAGGGCTACACCAGTTCCAAAGGCGACCTGCAGCGCCTCCTGGCGGTGCCTGTTGCTGGCCCGCAACACCGCGAGCGTCTGCGGAGTTGCCGCTAAGGGAGGTGCCTGTTAGGTGCCAGAGCTATAAAATCCTTCCTTGATATTTCGCTCTTCTACAAGGTATTTCACTGCGTTTCAGCCTCATGTGGAGGAGTAGGTGGTATCGAAGATGGGTCTGATAGGATTGCATAGAGAGCCAGGGTGATCTCCTTGGGACCTCAACTGTGGACAACTAGACGATGGATCTGGAGTCATACCGTTCTGTCTCCTCTGTATTCCCCAACCTCGTCTCCATCACACTTCCTTTCTCTCCTGGACATTGAAGAAAGACTGACAGTGATCCCAGAAGCTAGAGACATCCAGAATAGAGGGAGCAGCCTCTCTACCACCGGAAGTGTGCTTAGGAGAGAGATCCCAGCCTCAGCCTTTACAGACAACGTAAAAATCTGGAGTGGAGTCGGGCAGTGGTGGCGCACGCCTTTAATCCCAGCACTTGGGAGGCAGAGGTAGGCGGATCCCCGTGAGTTCGAGGCCAGCCTGGTCTACAGAGAGAGTTCCAGACAGGCTCCAAAACTACAGAGAAACCCAGTCTCGGGGGGAAAAAATCTGGAGTGGTCAGTGACAATTTCTACCTTTGCCACACAGGACACAGACTCAAATATGATCACGGATGTGTTGCTGGCCTTCTCTGGTTGTCCCACATCAATCTGAACCTTCTGGGAAGATTCAGGTTCAAACCAGAGTGGGTAAACTGTTGAAGACTAGGAATGTGAAGGGCTCGAGGGTCAGTGTGGATGCATACTGGATTCTCAGCAACGGGCTGCTGACGGAAGCAAAGAGAGACAGCCAAAGGGCCCTTTCCCTATAGCGCCTGGGCCAGGACAGCGTTACAGTAGTCAGGCGATACCTGAGGAGTCTTGTTCGCTTCCCACACTTCCTACTGAGGCAGATGCAGAGTTGTACTCTACTGTTTTGAGCTTTGGCCCCAAGACTTGGCAGCCTGTGGCTCACAGATTCCGTAGGAGAAATCCAGGAGATTACAGTCCTTCCAAATATCATAGAAACAACCCGTTTGCCAGCTGCAGATTACAAAAGCCTTTTATGTGTGCTTTCATTTTGTCTTTCGCTAGCTCAAGAATTTAGGCCTGGGCATCCCCTCTAGCTGGTGAAAGGTCTGAGAGGCCGCCACCAAGCCCTCCAAGACACACACTCAAGGGGAGGGAGTCAGGACTCCAGGCATCACCTAGGTTGTAGCGATCGTCTCTCTACAGGCTCAGATGCTCATATGCACCATTATTTAAAAGAACCCTAGAAGCTGGGCGGTGGTGTCTACAAAGAGAGTTCCAGGACAGCCAGGACTACACAGAGAAACCCTACCTCAAAAAACAAAACAAAGAAAAGGACCTTAGAGACTGGACAACATAGAAGAGAAGGCATTTGGGAGGAGCATGATTTAAGGTCCTGGGGGCAGAGGTTAGGATGGGTCAAACTCAGAGCTTCAAAGAGCAAGGTTCATATAAAACAGGACTATGAGCAAGGTGTGGTGAAGTACGCCTTTAATCACAGAGACTGATAGATCTCTCTGAGTTTAAGGCTAGCCTGGTCTACATACAAGTTCAAGGTCAGTCAGGACCCTTCTTTCCCAAAAAGCAAAACACCTAAAGTCTACACCTAAAGTCTGTAATGGCCTTCAAGGCTCATCATAGCCCACCTATCCTGACTCACTAGCTTGCACCCCTTAGCCTAGAGGCCCCTGATCTGCTCTGTGGTCAGTGCACCCTGCTGCAGCTGCTAGCGAAGAGAAACGAGATGAGCCGAGGGGCAACAGTTAAAAAACACTCATTTTTAGAGTCTGGCTTGACCCTAAAAAATCAGTCTTCACTCCAAGCCTTACACGCCTAGGGAATAGACCATTTTTTTTTCTTTAAAAAAAATTATTTTGTAACCATCCCCAGAATCTGGACATTGTAGGACTCACAGCGGAACAGTCAATAAAAAGTTGTCGGCCCGACCTCAAGAAATGTCTTTGGGGCTGGGAGAAAAGTCTTAGCGGTAAGGAGTGCTTGTTGCAATTGCAGAGGATCCAAGTTCAGTTCCCAAACACCCCCGGTAGGTGGCTCAAGACAGCCTAGCTCTAGCTCCAGGGGAGCTGCGGTCCTATTCTGGCCTCTCAGGGCAATATCACTTAACACGACACAGGCGCACACGTATACATAGAAATTAAAAGAATGCCTTTGACTGGGCATGGTGGTGCACACGTGTGACGGCAGCGCTAGGGAAGCAGAGTCGGAAGACTCGTGGTTCTACGGCTAGATCTAATAAGAGAAAGCCGTCTGCAGCGGCCTAACTAGGTATCGAATGTATCGGCTCTCTTCTGATGAGGCCTGGGAAAGAGAACAGGATCAAGCCACTGCTTTAGGCTGCCAATAAGTGCGGAGCGCTGTGATTGGTCCTTGCTTAGGTAAAAAGGAGAGCCCGGGTTGCTGCGTGGGGGCTTGGGGAACGTCATGGCGTCGCTCAACAGTAAAACCGCGGTTTGCGTGGTCTGTTTGGAGAAGCCGAAATACCGCTGCCCGGCTTGCCGCGTGCCCTAGTGAGTCGGGGCTCGTGGGGATTGGGGAGAGCGAGCACCGGGCCGCGAGGGAGGCCGGGCCGCGGGCGGGGGCTGCGGGCAAGAGGCGCGTGCTGCGGCTGTCCGGGCTGACGGAGCCTCCTGTCTTTCTTGTTACAGCTGCTCGGTCGTTTGTTTCCAGAAACACAAAGGTAAGACCCTGGACCGCTGTCGCAGCCCTTGGCCCTACTTTGCTTTGCCGTGCCCGGCAATCCAGGACACATTAGCTCGAAGCAGGATTCCCACGAGTTCAAGGCCAGACTAAGATCTCGTCTCAAACAAACCGAAGCACGTCAACTACTTTGTTGGAAAAAGTCAGTCCTAGCTGTTTGTTCGTCTTAGCATTCTAGTGTAGCCCCTGACAGGTGAATGAGCCAGCAGTGTTTCTGCCTTTAAAGTAATGGTTGTTTATTGTTTACAATAGAAAGAAGTTTTTCAGCCGGGCGGTGGTGGCGCATGCTTTTAATCTCAGCACTCGGGAGGCAGAGGTAGGCGGATCTCTGTGAGTTTGAGGCCAGGCCAGGCTCCAAAGCTACAGAGAAACCCAGTCTCAGCGGAAAAAAAAGAAAGAAATTAATAAAAAGTTTTTCTGTGTGTGGTATTTTCAGACAGGTTCTTTTTTTATATAGTCCAGTCTGCCCTCAAACTTCTCATGATCCTACTTTCTATACCCCAAGTGTTGGGATTATATATAGGAGTAGAGATCTATGCCATCAAGTCTAGCTAAGACAAGTTACTGACCTACCGAGAGAAAAGCTGGAGATGGAGAAATGGTTCTGCCGTTAAGAGCCTCTTGTTGCTTTTCTGGAAGATCTGAATTTGGTTCCCAGCAACCACCTACTGTAGGCAACCTGCAGGTCCATTACCAGGGGATCGTCGCCCTTGTCTGACCTCCACAGGCACCTGAATACTATGGCAGACACACAAGTAAAAACAAAACCTTTAAAACAGCAGTGGAGGGGGCATTTGGGAGTGATGGTGCCAACTTCAGCCTTGGGGAGGCTGAGGCAGGAGGATCCCTACAAGTTTCAGGTCAGTTTGACTTTATATTGAGACTGTTGAGAAAGCTTGAATCATCTGGTAGGTTATGTGTATAATGTGAACACTCTCCTTCCTTCCTTCCTTCCTTCCTTTTCTTTCTTTGGAGCCTGCCCTGAAACTGTAGCCAAGTCTGGTCTCCAACTCAGAGAATTACCTGCCTCTGCCTCCCGAGTGCTGAGATTAAAGGCATGTGCCACCATCGCCCAGCATGAGCACACTTTCTATACAGTAAAAGTATTTACTTGTGCATATACATCCACAAATACATTGGTCATGTGTGCAAATAGGTCCGTAAGTGTGTACCTTTAAGGTTAGTCATTCTGTGTAATTTGTGACTTTAGAAAGTTTATAGCTTTTCAAACAAGATTCATTTATTTATTTCGTATACATTGTTCTGTCTGCAGGTATGCCTGCAGGCCAGAAGAGGGCACCACATCTCATTACAGAATGCAGTTGAGTTCAGTTTGCTGGGAATTGAACTCAGGGCCTCTGGAAGAGCAGTCAGTGCTCTTAACCTCTGAGCCATATCTTCAGCCCTCTTTTTTTTTTTTTTTTTTTTTTTTTTTGTTTTTTTTTTAAATAAAAAAGTTCAAGGACTGGAGGGATGGTTGAGCAGTTAAGTGTGCTTGGTGCTCTTCCAGACGACCTGTGTTTGGTTCCCAACCCCTGTAACTCCACTTCAGGGGCTCTGAGTCCCTCTTCTGGTCTCCACAGTCACTGTCACACATCTCTCTCCTGTTTTCTCCCATCCCAGACCTCTCTCTGCCTGCCAAAGCTTCTCCTGGGCTTCCTTGGTAGACTCAGACCAGACCTTGTCACCTTATTCACCTCTGTAGTGTGTTCTATGGCCAAACTCCCCCAGCATGGATGACTCCCACATCTTTGTTCCTAGTTGCGTATGGTACATTCATGTGGTATCTGAAACTGCTGGGAAAACATGATGCATGTAGAAGTCCCTGCCATTAGTCCTGGTGAAAGCCCTGTGAAATTGGCTTTGGGGCACACGGCCACCTGCGCTCACCTTTCTGCAAGACTCAGGATTACTCATGGTTTTCTTTGGCCTGTTGTTCCATTTGACCTCCCCGATCCCTTGTCCCTACCCAGTACACATGCTTCTCCCTGGCTTGGTGGCCTGAAATGTGTGTCTCTCTCAGAGCAGTGCAGTCCGGAAACCTGTCCTGTTGAGAACAGAAGAACGGTGGCTCCTGTGACAACAAGGTCGGAGGAAGACAAAGGTGAGGTGGGTGGGCGGTTTTGACCAGGTAACTTCTACAGGATTTCAAAGATGAGAAGTGGGCAGGAGAGGAGGAGGAGGTGGGCAGGATGCAGAAGAACTTGAGTAGCAGCTCCAGTCTCAGGGTGGGTCACAGGTTGTCACAGGTGGAGTTTCCAGCATCCTAGGGTGTGGTTCCAGGAAGGGGGAAGGGAGCAGGGGTTTGGGGTTTGTGTTGGGTCCTGGTAGGTCCACGTGGGAGGCCTGCTCTGAACTGCTGGAGTCTCCCTAGAGCTCAGAGCAGTAATGGGCTGTCACTGCATTCATGTTTCATGCTGTCCATGTGTTCGTCTAGCCATAAAGCCTCCTGAGTGTCATGGCTCTGCAGGCAGCAACTCTTTTTTTTTTTTAATATTTATTTATTTACTTATTATGTATACAGTGTTCTGTCTGTGTGTATGCCTGCAGGCCAGAAGAGGGCACCAGACCTCATTACAGATGGTTGTGAGCCACCATGTGGTTGCCGGGAATTGAACTCAGGACCTTTGGAAGAGCAGTCAGTGCTCTTAACCACTGAGCCATCTCTCCAGCCCCCAGGCAGCAACTCTTATGCCACAAAGAGGTCCTTAAGATTCACAGAAAGGAGTGGGGCCTTTTCTTCTTGGAGAACCTTCTCATGTGGCTCGGGCATATCTGCCCTTTCTGAGATCACAGGGTTATGTTTGCTAGGATTGTACAGGGCCTCGTTTATTGGCCCAGCACAGGCTTGGAGTCATGACAGAGGCAGGTAGGGTGTTCAGAAGCACAAAACAGGGCTAGAGAGATGACTCAGGTTAAAAGCACTGGCTGCTCTTCCAGAGGTCCTGAGTTCAAATCCCAGCAGCCACACGGTGGCTCACAGCCATCTATAATAAGATCTGATGCCCCCCTATGGCGTGCCGGCAGAACACTATATAACAATCAAATAATTTTTATAATAAATAAATCTTAGAAAAAAATACCTGCAGAACCAGACCTCTTGCCTGCAGACCACAGGAAGCGTGAACCATCATGCACTGGTTAGGCACAGTCACCATTCCACCACCTTCTCTTTCCTGCATGAGGGGATGTTTAATTTTGAAGTCCAAGAAGCAAGCTGCTTATTGCTTTGACTCCTGCTGAACCCTCACCATCTCACACATGCGCACACATTGTCACCATGGCTGTCCTGGCTTTCTGCTCCCCTCAGACGATGACTCCTCTGTGGCTGATTTCCTCAACAGTGATGAGGAAGAAGACAGGGTGTCTCTGCAGAAGTTAAGGAATTTAGGTAAGTCTTTGCTCGGCTTGGTTTTTGTTAATTTGTATTGTTTATTGCTGTACAGGCAGTGAAACCTGGGAGAATGGAGCCTAAATGTGAGGTAGATCACAGTCTCATGCAATAGCCAGCTTTATTCAGAGCACCAGACGGTTTATACCCTGAGGGTTAAGACTGTCACCTGGGCAAAGTGTCCAATCACAAGGACAAGTGCGGGAGGCAGCTTTTCCATAGAGGCATATAAAGAAATAACACTAGCTAGATACAATGAGTAATCCGAAGTCAACTCACTCCTCTGCGCCACACATGAGAGGGACAGGAAAGCACATTCTAAGAACAGTTCCATATTCTTGAAGAAGCTGAGGTCACATGACTCTTGTTTTCTTGGTGCACGCAGAGTTCCCTTAGCAGGACTATTCCAGCACTGTTTCCTTTGTGTGGAATGTGGGTGGGTCTCTGAGTTGTATTGGTGGGAGGCTGGGATAGCTCAGAATTTCCTGCATTTTCTTTTCTGTCTTCTTTTCTTAGATGAGACAGTCTTACTGTATGGTCCCGGCTGGCCTAGAAGTCAGTTGGCCTCAGCCTTCCTTGTTGCCACCCTCCTCTCTGCCTCCTGATGCTGTATTTCCCTACTCAGAGTTGCTGTTATTGTTGTGTATGAAGTGGGTGTGGGCTTGAGTACAGTTCCAAGGACAAGTTTTCAGGAGTCTCCTTTGTGAGTTCTGGAGATCAAACTCAGGCCACTAGGCTTGCACGGCAGGTACTTCTGCCTGCTGAGCCACCTTACTTGCCCCTCTTTATCTTCAAATTGTGTATATCTCTGTGCACCTGAGTACAGTGGCTGGTGGAGGCCAGCAGAGGGCGGTGGATCCCCAGAGCTGGAGTTATAAGTGGTTGTGAGCCACTTCACATGGGTGTGGGAACTGAACACAGGTCCTTTACAAGTGCAGCAAGTGCATGAAACTACTGAGTCATCTCTCCCCTCATTGCACCCCTTTACCCTTCCTCCAGGCAAACACAGAAGTCAGAGGACAACTGTAAATGGAGGTTTCTCTCTCGCTCACCCAGTCCAAATAAACACTCTGAGGCTTAGTATTAATTACAAGCTGTTTGGCCAATGGCTCAGGCTTATTACTAACTAGCTTTTACATCTTAAATTAACCCATTTCTATTAATCTATGTATTGCCACATGACCATGGCATTACCTCACATCTTGCATCTCTGGGGGCTGCTAGCCTCTCTCAGAATCCGCCTTCCTTTCCCTTTAACTTTTCTTGGATTTCCCATCTGACTCTATTCTGTCTCGCTATTGGCCAAATCAACTTTAGTAACCAATAGTAATAACGTATTCACAGCATACATAGGGCATCTCACATCAGACAACTTTTGTCTCAAGTATTGAACTCTGGTCATCAGGCCTGGAGGTAAGCATCTTTACCTGCTGAACCATTTTACCAGCTCTTTTTAAGATGGGATTTGGGCTGGGCTGTCGTGGCGCATGCCTTTGATCCCAGCACTTGGGAGGCAGAGGCAGGTGGATCTCTGTAAATTCGAGGCCAGCCTGGTCTATAGAAGACAGGCTCCAAAGCTACACAGAGAAACTCCACCTCGAAAAATCAAAAATCAAACAAACACACCAGGATGGTACTTGGGGGAGGGGCTGGAGAGATGACTTAATTAGCTACTTACTGTGTAAGATTTATGATTTGTCTTTAATACCCAACATCTGTTTAAAACAAGCAAGCTGGGTTCTGTAATCCTAGCACTAGGGAGGTAGAGGCAGGAGGATCCCAGTGTTTTGTTGGCCAGCCTGTCCATGTGAATTAGTAAGGGACCGTGTCGGAAAAGAATAAAGTAGAGGCTGAGTGATGTCATGGGTCTTTGATCCTAGCACTTCCAGACAAGGCTACATAGTGAGAGACCCTGTCTTGGGGATAAAAATGGAGAACAATTTCAATTGAGGAAGATACCCAGTGAGGAACTTTGACCTCCATGTGTATAAAATGGGATTTATTTGAGACCATCTCATCTAGTTCTTGTTGGCTTGACATTTGCCTGTAGACCAAGCTGGCCTCAGACTCAGATCTACCTGCCTCTGCCTCTCTTGTTTCTAAGTAAGATTACTATGTAATGTGATGTGCGGGGTCTTTCCTGTCCAGCCCCAGGATTCTGTCAGCATAATGGTTTCAAATCTCCCATCTTGCATGTGCCAGGTATAACATTGGAATCCTACAGATTTTGTAGGTTGGTGTAATTGTGCTTTAAAAGTATAGTTGATTTTCTTTGCGTACCCAAGCCTTTCTCAGGTTAGGCACTTTTCTAGCTTCCCTTAGTGCCTTGGACTTACTAGTAATTTACTACTATAGCCACATTGGTGGTAGAGATTTGTGCCTTTTACAGCAGCCTGTGGGGCAGAGACCTGTATTACCTGTCTTCAGTTCCCAGCTTACAGTGCAGTCATAAATAGACTGGACAATCACCAGGGAGAGGACGGTGTTCACCACATTTGAATTATGTGCATGTGTCTGTAGGATATATGCACATGAGTCCAGAGGAGTCAGAGTCTCCTGGAGCTAGAGCACAGGTATAGGTTACCTAACTTGGGTGCTAGGAATTGAACTTGGGTCCTCTTAAAGAGCAATGTGTTCTTAACCACACATTTTTGTAGCACCACTTCTTTGGTGCTTGTAAGAATTCTGTTATTGGTGTTAATTGCATTTGTGTGTGTATATGCACACAGGCTCCAGGAGGTGTTGAGAATTGCCGTCATTCTTTACCTTATTCCTTTGAGACGGTGTCTCTCATTGAGCCTGGAGCACACACCTTGGCTAGGCTCAGTGATCCACCTGTCTCTGCCTTGCACGTGTTCGGGTTACAGGCGTGCATAGGATCATGCTTGCCTTTAAGTGGGTGTTGAGATAGTAACACTGGGCCTGTGCTTTGCAGAGCAAACACTCTCTCCAGCTCAGGTCTTCTTTGTTCATGTGTATATTGAAAGTTAATTTGTGGGTACAGTCATCTGATGTTCAAGGCAGCTTGGTTCCAGGACCTGTTTCTCAGCAATGGTCAAGTTTCTTTTATAAAATAGTACTGTAGCTGGCACTTGGGAGGCAGAGGTAGGTGGTGAGTTTGAGGCCAGCCTGGTCTACATAGAGAGTTCCAGGACAGCCAGAGCTACACAGAGGAACTCTGTCTCAAAAAAAAAAAAAAGGGGGGGGGTACTGTAAAATGTGTAACTGATGCACTTGAAGTCATCTAACCTAACTTGAGGCAAACACTTAATGTATAGTTATAAGGAAAAAAATTCACATTTCGTACAGGTGGTAAAAGGTTTGTTTTTGTTTTTTTGAGACAAGGTTTCTGTGTAGCCCTGTAGACCAGGCTGGCCTTGAACTCACAGAGATCTGTGCTGGGAGTAAAGGTGTTTGTTGAATGTTTAGATGTGTGGTTGGTTGTACAACCTAACAACATGGATTGGCAGCATGGTGGCTAAGGAGAAACAAGCCCCTCATGGTTGATTACACAGGAAACACTAAGCTTTTAGCCCCTGACATGGGTTCCACTTGAACTTAAAAGCTGGCATTGATTTTTAAGGTGAATCTGCAGCTTTAAGAAGCTTACTGCTCAACCCACACCTGAGACAGCTGATGGTTAACCTCGATCAGGGCGACAACAAAGCAAAACTGATGAAAGCCTGCATGCAGGAGCCCTTATTTGTGGAGTTTGCAGACTGCTGTTTAAAAATCGTGGAGCCACCCCAGAAGAACAGGAATTCTTAAACCTGGGTGTGCTCTTCGCTCAAGCTGCCCACTGCTTCTCTTAGGAGGAGGTTGTTTCCAAGGCTGTAGGACATGTAGGTCTTCTTCAGACAGGTCGGGGATACTCAAGGTGCAGGTCCTTTATGAAGAGGAAACTTGCAGCTGGATGGACGGCTCAGCTCTTCCAGAGGACGAATCTTCAGCATGACTGCCAACAGTTGTAATTATAGTTCCGGGGCTCTGACACCCTCTCCTGGCTTCTGAAGGTACTGTAAGCATCATACACAGCCGTACATGCAGGCAAAACTCAAACATACATTTTTTTAAAAAAAGGGAAAAGTCTATTTATATTTACATGGTGGTTTTAAATTTATTTCTGGTACAGTTCAGAGTTACACCATAAATACCAGGTTTATCCAGGTTTAGGTTTTGAATTAAAAACTGATTGATAGTGTTACTGAATAAATTTAAGATGTGGTTCTGTGTACATTGCATTGCTCATTGTTCTTGGTGTCATTAAATAAATCAGTTTATTAAATATATGTAAGTTTTCCCCACCCAAAATTTTAGAGCCAATTTTAGGGTGATTTGGCCATTTTAAAGTGCTTGTAGATGGCCCAGTATCTATCCTGCTGTAGTGACATTCTGGACGGACAGTCACATCTGCAGAACCTGAGCCTGAAGGGGGACAGTAAGCTGGGATGTTGTGGTCCTAATCTTGGCTTGGTAACTAGCACTCCCAGATCCTGCCAGTGCCGAGGCCATAGTCCTAGCTGGCTGGTACTCTGACCACGAAGCCCTGGCTCACAGACAGAAGCTGTTGCTTGCACACACAGGTGGAGTCGCTATGGGAATAGCTTGGCAGTTGTCTGTTGATCAGATGTCTTTGGCAAGGCAGCTGGCAGGAAATGGCCTTCTGGAAACAAAGGCACTAAAGATCACGTAGGCAGGTGGGGGTAGAAGAGTCACACTTGGACTGGCCTGTGTCTTTCTAGCAGAATCTGATTAAAACCAGTAACACTGGAGGCTGAAGGTTCAGGGCAGATGTCAGCATACTGAAGTGGAGACTTCCTGCAGTGAAACTTTATCGAGCCCTGGGGAGAAAGAGAAGCAATCTATGAGAGGCAGGACCCAACAACACCTCAAAGAGAGAAATCCACTCAGGGTGACAGACTCCTAGTATTTCCTATTACTCTAAGGGTACTGGCTGTCATCCCACCTACTGACAGCTGGAAGATCAGAAGACTTGTTTACCCCTTGTCAGTTTCAGGGAGACTTTGTACAGATTATATGGCATGTTGTTGACTTCATTTCTTTCCTCTGGTCCCTTGTACCAGGCGGGGTATTAACCCGGTTTTACAGAGGAGAAAATGGAGGTTCCGAGATGACGTGCCATTACCAGGGTTATCCAGGGAAGGGGCTGAGCTGGGACCAGGCTGGGAGGCAAACAGGTGGCACAACACACAGGACCCGGCCACACATTCACTATTTCCAGTTGAGAAAGTGACAGCCAATAACTAAGTGATAGAATGTCACCTGAGGAGACAGACTATGGCCACACTCATTTCTCAGGAGTGGAACTAATGTCCTAGAGTCAAGTGTGCTATTCTTTAATTCCTTACAGCTACCCTGTAGGGAGTTTGCTGTGTCCATCTGGTAGAGGATACAGGGCTGAGGTACTTGCCTAACTGAGGATTTCACATTGCAGAGGAAGAGCCAAACACTCAGGGATAAAATGCTTAGAAGCAGTTTTTTGAAGGGCTCTGAACAATCTGGTTTTTGGTTGGAACAATGGCAGCAAGGAACACCTATAGATTTGTTTTTTGTGCTATATCCTCCCCCCCCCCCACACACACCCACTACAGGCAGCTTTGTTCACTGCCTTCCCCAATGAACAACCTGGAGCTGTGGGAAGGACGGCCATGGCATCTCAGAAGGAGAACATACCTGAGGCAGCGCTCTGATGGACGTAATGCCAGCCTGATCTTGTTGTGGTGTCTGGACGCTGTTGCTGGGGTTGCCCGTGGGAAGCCGGAGGCAGGCATGGGCCACCAGTTTCCTCTGAAAGCCGCGAGCACCCACAGCTGAGTTGGCTAGCACCAGTCCCATGGGCCAGAGGTGGATTATTGCCTCTAATAGTTTAGTGTGTGCTGGGGACAGCGAGGCGCTTAGGGAACTGGGAGCTTGAGGCATGGGTTTATCCTCCATACCATCCAGTTCTTTAGAAGCAAGATAGGCCATTCTGATCTTAAAGAGAAAATATTCCTTTATAATGTCAGGTTTGCCTAACCTTTCTAAAAGGACTTACCTTTGCATTCATTCACTTGACACAGAAGTAGTATGCTATAGTGGACATGCTGAAGTCAGAGGACAGCTTATGAATTGGGGCTTCATTGGGTAGTCAAGATCTAGCCCTCTTTAAAAAGTTAATAGGTGGTGGGGGTGCACCCTTTTAATCCCAGCAATTGGGAAGCAGAGACAGGTGGATCTCTGAGTTCAAGGCTAGCCTGATCTATAGAGTGAGTTCCAAGACAGCTAGGAGAGAAACCTTGCCCTGAAAAATCAAATCAATAAAAATTAAAAAAAAAAAATTCTTTATGTGTATGCATGTATGCTCATGTGGGCATGAGCATGCCACGGTCACCTGTGGAGGTCAGAGAGAGCTTTTGAGAGTTTGTTCTTACCATGAGGGTCCCTGGGCTCAAACTCAGTTGGTCCACTTGCTGAGTCATCTTACTAGCTCTTTCCAGCATTCTGACTGGAAAACAATCAGCTTGACAAGGTAAACTCAAGAGCCTTGGCTGTGATGCCCTCGACTAGACTGGCTTCATGGGGCAGAATGTCAAGAAACTGCAGGGTTTTTTTTGGTTTTTAGAGACAGGGTTTCTCTGTGGTTTTGGAGCCTGTCCTGGAACTAGCTCTTGTAGACCAGGCTGGTCTTGAACTCACAGAGATCCGCCTGCCTCTGCCTCCCGAGTGCTGAGATTAAAGGCGTAAAGTAAGAAACTGCAGTTTTATTGGCAGTTTGAGCATAGGGTTGCTTATGCCACTCTGTACGGGAGCTGTCTGTACCCTTCTCATACACGGGACACCAGGCTTAGAGGCTGGTGCCACACCCCAGCAGCAGAGACATCCCTCTGTCTTGGGCCTGTCTGAAGTCCACCCCTGGCCTTCAGCCACACTCACTCTCCATTTTCGCCAAGCGCGCTTGATGACCGTGGCAGCGCTGTGTAACCTTCTGATGTGTTTCCGCGTTAACCAGGACCGGATAGCTAAAGAAACAGCAGAGACATAAAAACCATCATTAGAGCTGTTAGCCATGTGGCCAATATGGGTTGATGTGAAAATATGAAGTCTCTTTGCCCAGTGATGTCAATATATAAGGCAAAATGGGGCTTAAGAGTCGCTCCTGGAAAGATGGCTCAGTGGTTAAGAGCTCCCTGCTCTTGCAGGGCACCAGATTGGTTACCATATGGTGATTCGCAACTTCTTCTGACTCTAGTTCTGGCCCCCAAGGGCACCTGAATGCATATGGTACACACACTCTTACGTTATACTGCCCACAAACTTAGATAGCTGTGCACACACAGTCTTACATTATACACTTACACACACACACAGTCTTACGTTATACTGCCCACAAACTTAGATAGCTGTGCACACACAGTCTTACATTATACACTTACACACACACACAGTCTTACGTTATACTGCCCACAAGCTTACAGATAGCTGTGTACACACCAGTCTTACATTATACACTTACACACACACACACACACAGTCTTACGTTATACTGCCCACAAACTTAGATAGTTGTGCACACACAGTCTTACATTATACACTTACACACACACACACACAGAGTCTTATGTTACACTGCCCATTACAGATAGCTGCACATTGAAGGGCCACCTGGGAGCTGTAAGGACCCAGGCTGCCACTGACCTCAGACTCAGTCCTTATCAGTTCCCAAGGAACAGGAGGGGTCTGGGTGGTCTGTGCTTGTGTGGAAATGTAACTCCATGTTATAGCACTTGCCTAGCATGAGTGAAGCCCTGGGTTTGATTGATGGCACTACAGAAGGACAAATGATTTTCACTTTTCAAAATCAGCCTGTCAGGACTGTGTTAGTCAGACCCGTCATATGGAATCAGCCCCACCTACCTGCCTGAATGAGCATGGCAGCCCGCCTCTGTTTCTCCTGCTTTTGGAGACGATGTCGCCTCCAGCCACACTGGATGCAGCGGGCACACTGCTCCAGCATCTGGGCACGTCCACATTCCAGAAGCTCTAGCTGAGAGAAGAGGAGTCCATTGAGGTGTTTGGCCTCTCCTCCCCTACCCTGAGAACAGCCTACACTTGCTGCTGGCACTTGTAATCTCATTCCCCAGTCAGTTTACCATGGAGTCAGTCATGAAAATCTTTGTCCTGCCACAGTACAGTGGGACTTGTGTGGTCTCAGCTGGGTCACTGGGAGGGGTCGCTGTCTGAATTAAAGCTGGCAGAGCATGGAGAATGTCCTGTAGTAGAGGCTGCAGTGTGGCCTCCTTGGCACGTAGAGGCTGCTCTGGAGGTGGGAGAAAGGCTTCATCAGTGCCCGCTCATTCCCACAGGCTTCTGGAGTCTGAAGAGCTTGGCTCTCTAAGCCTTTTATTGCTGTTCTGAATCTAGTAATTTCTTCTTCCCCCTTTTATCCCTCACAGTCCTGGCTGTTTGGGACTGTTCTGAAGCCACCACTGCCCTATGTCTCTTTGGACAGGCTGCAAGGTCTGTAAGCCTGGAGAGGGAATCCCAGACTGCTTGGCTACTCCCTTGGTCCCACCCCTTACCAGGTACAGTCAAGTGAAGAAAAGGAAGACCATACCCAACTGTGGGAAAGCCCTCCCAAGCGTGCCTCCTGTTTGGGAAGATTTACCTGAGGGCTCTGACAGTTAGCAGCCCAGCACCTCTTTGGAGACAGAGGACACCAAAGCAGATGCAGGAGACGAGAGATGAGAGACATCCAGAAAATGGACCAGGGTCCAAAGAGGCTTGTTGGTAAGAGAGACAGGAGAGCGAACCGTGGAGAGAGGAGAAAGAAGGGGAAGGCGAAGGAGAGTGACACACTCCCAAGAGAAAACTACTCAGAAGGGCTGAGATTTGTCCTAGTCCTTGTGTCTGTCCCTCTGCCTCTAACATTCCCACATTTTTAGTTATGGACAGCTACACTGCGTTACAGGCTAGACTTTCACCCTAGCGCTTTGTACACTTCTCCCCTTTGATGTCTCCTGGACCCTGGAGCTCAAGCTGGCCATGCAGGGCTGGTCCAGATTCCTCAGATTTCCCTTTTTGCCTACTCTTCTCACTGGCAAGGCCAAGTTCACCGTCCATTTCTGTCTACCTCTGTATCTGTACAGAGCCATGCCTACCAACACTGACCAGTGTGCCCATAGCTGCACACAGCTCTGGCTTCTCCTTGGGTGGCTCACAGCCTCACCCCTAAGACCTCCCATAAGGTC